CCGCCAGCCTGGGGACACCTCAAGGCACCGACTGAGGTCCCCTTTCCAGTCACCTCCACGTGCCCGCCACCTCAGAGACTGGAAGGCTGGGGTGCACGGGTGACAGACACCCCACCCCCTGGCCAGGTGGAGCGCGAGTGCTCCGGGCTGCGTGGCACTGCGCCGCTCTAGGCTCTGACATCCCTTCAGTCAGCCCCCTCCCCGCCCCCACACGCCAGGCTCGGTCTCTTTGTTTTCGCCGCGTCTCTGACACTTTATCTCATTATCCGCTGGAGGGAGGCTCCAGCCTGGGACCCCGCATCCCAATTACAGCCGCACTTGTCAACGCAGAGGACAGGGGGAGTCTCAGCTCCAGGGAGAGGAAGGAAGCCCCCAGGAAGGGCCCCTCCCCCCTGTGCGGGTCCCCGGAGGCGGGTGCACAGGTCGCCCTTGCCCCAGCCGCCACAGGGCTGTGGAGGGAGGTGGGGAGCTGGAGCATCCGGCTGAGCAGGGGGAGGCAGGGAGGGAGGGAGAGGGTGGAGGTTAGCCTGGGAGTGGGAGGTAGTTAGGGTGGGCTTCTGGGTCCCTGGAACCCCAATTCCCCAAAGATGGTGAGTGAGCCTTCTCGCCCCGACAGCATAGCACCGGGCGCAATCAATTGCTTGCTCTGCACTTATGTTTGTGTGTCTTGTTCTCTTTCCTCCTTCAACATCTTGTCTGTCTTTCCTGAACTCGTTTTCTCACTCCCTTCTCCTCTCCACAGCCAGAGGCAGAGAGTGGCCTCCTTGGACAGCTGCCCCTTCCCCTTCCCTCTTCCCCCTTCCCCAAGGGAGGCAGGGCAAGCTGGTTTCTCAAGCCCCCAAACTTCCACAACTGACTGGCTCACTCTGTCCTAAGCCCCAATGCAGACACCGCCAGCCCCCAGGCCTCCAAGCGCGGTTCCAGGCCAACCAGGACACAACTGGGAGGGAGCACCCAGAAGTAGAGGGGCTGGGCTGCTTTAGCTCTTCTGTTGGACTGTCTGTCCCCCCTCCTCCCCCTACACTGGGGGGGACAGAACCAGGGCCTCCAGGACCTGCTACTCCTGGATGCTCTTGAGAAGTGATTCCCAACCTTTCCTCTCATGTCACACAGAAACTAATGAGTAAAATTCCGCAGCACACCAATGTGTGTGTGTGTGTGTGTGTGTGTGTGTGTGTGTACTAGAGGCATGGTGCATGAAAATTCATGCACTGGAGAGGGGGTCCCTCAGCCCGGCCTGTCCTCTCTCACAGTCCAGGAGGTGGGAGGTGACCTGGCAATTAGGGGAAGGCAACGCCCCATCTCACCTCTGCTGCTGCCACTGCCAGCAGCGCAAGCCTCAGCCGGCCCTGGTTACCTGAGCCTCAGGCAGCCCTGGGAAGCTGGGCAGCCGCCATCTGAGGCTTGCCTGTGCCTCGGGCTGGCCCTGGGCAGCTGGGGGGGCTGAGGGGACTGGGGGACTTCAGAGGTGAGTGGGCCTGGCCTTGTCACATGCCTGCCCCCTGGTGGGGTTGAGGGGACTGTGCACTGCCATCTTTGAGGGTGTGGCAGTCAATTAGCATATTCCCTCCTATTGGTTTATTATTTTTTAAATATATTTTATTGATTTTTTACAGAGAGGAAGGGAGAGAGATAGAGAGCTAGAAACGTCCAATGAGAGAGAAACTTCGACCAGCTGCCTCTTGCACAACCCCTACCAGGGATGTGCCCGCAACCAACATACATGCCCTTGACTGGAATCGAACCTGGAATCGAACCTGGGACGCTCTACCGCTGAGCCAAACCGGTTTCGGCTGATTTATTATTAATAAGGAGGGAATATGCTAATTGAATGCCCACCTCAAAGATGGTGGGCATTCAGTTAGCATATTCCCTCCTTATTGGCTGTGGGCGCCACCATCTTTGAGACAGCATGGGGGTCAATTAGCATATTCCCTCTTTATTAGATAAGGTATATGCCAAAATAGGTATAACTTTGATTCATTCACATCAGATAGCTATTGCTGTGCTGCTGTTGTCATTTTTTTATTTGACAATCTAAGGCAAAAGAGCTCAATGCCCCTGACTGGATAGTCAGGTACTGCGTGTTTTAAAAACACTTGCAGCACAGCAGTGTGCGTGCGGGGGCACCCCATTGGAAATGGCTGCCCTGGGTGTCAGGGAAGCACTGCTGTTGTGTCCCTGGCCCTGCTGGTGCCACCTGCGAGCACCCACTCCTGCACTTTCCTGGAGGTCCGTTTGCCTGCCTGTCTCGGGGAGTCCACTGCTGGACCCCCTCTCAATGGGAGTCCGGGTCCAAGCCTGTGAGGCTCTCCCCAGCACCGACCCAAAGCCCCAAGTAGGATGGTGTCCTGCGGGCCAGGAGCGATTGGGAGGAGAGTGGAGGGCAGAGATCCCTCAGCTTCCCAACAGCTCCTCCCTCAGAGCCTGGAAGGGGTAGGGGTGGGGTAAGTTGGCTGCAGCAGGCTGGGCTGGGCTGGGCTGGGCTGACCCCTCCCCAGTGGGGGCGGGACCCCAGGAGCAGCGAGGGAGCCAAACCCCAAAGAGGACCAGACACCGAAGAGAAGAGGCGAGATGGCGGGAACCGGCCTGGGGTCCCGCTTATACAAGCAGATCAAGAGGCACCCCGCGGTGAGTTCGGTCCGAGCTCCCAGTCTTGCCTACCTCCCCCCCCCCCAGGGCTCTAACCTTTTCCAGGGGGTCCTCAACTCTCCCTGCAATGTGCCCCCTGGCAGAGGCCCGCTGTGGGGTGAGGGAGAGGTGCAGGCGGGGGTGGGGGTCGCCCGGAGAGGGGGGCGCGGGGACGGGACTGACTATGTCCTCGGTCTCCCCAGCTCATCCCCATGATCGGCTTCATCGGCCTGGGCATGGGCAGCGCTGCGCTCTACCTGCTGCGGCTCGCCCTGCGCAGCCCCGACGTCTGGTAAAGGCCGGGCTGGGGTCCTGGATGGGGCAACATGGGGCCGGGAAGGGCGTCTCTCAGGGACGGTGGGAATGGGGGGGGGGCTGGCAGGGATCCCCCTGCGGCGCCCCTGCCCCTGCCCCACCCCCAGCATCCCCGGCTGGAGCCCCTCTCCCCCTGGGCCCACCCAACCGCACGCTCCTCTGCTCCAGCCTTGCCCCGGCTGCCATGGCAACGCCGTTCTGCCGCCGCAGGCGGCCTATGGGTACCTCCATATCTCTGCAGGCCAGGATGTGGCCAGGCAGCCCACGTCTGGGGGTGCGGTACGGGTGATATGAGACTCCACCGCCCCCCCCCCCCAGGCAGTGGGGGTGGGGGTCAGCCCCATGTTGTCAGAATTGGGACACATCACAAAAGCCCCAGCCAGCTCCTCTCAACTCTGCCCGGCTGGGCCTGGGGGGGGTGGGGCAAGGTGCAGTGGGGAGCCCTGGGTGGGGTTCAGTCCCTCCTGTGGTCTCGCTCTGACAATGGTGACAGCCTTCTGCCAATGTCCCCCCTCCCCGGCAGTCTTGGGAAATGCCCCTCCCCAGGGTAGGGCCGGGTGGTGGGGCAGAGGGAGAGATGCTGCTGTTACCTCAGGATCTAGAGTCCTAGTTCCCACAGAGAAACCCCAAACCTCCCCCCTCCTCCCCACAGCTGGGACCGAAAGAACAACCCGGAGCCCTGGAACCGCCTGAGCCCCAACGACCAGTACAAGGTACCTTCCGGTGGCCCTGGGGTCGCACCTCCATCCCCATTCCCTGGTCCCTGGGACCCCGGCGCCTCCCGGCTAAAGGGAGGCCTGGGCACTCAGTGCACCCCCACCCTTCCACAGTTCCTTGCAGTTTCCACGGATTATAAGAAGTTGAAGAAGGACCGGCCAGACTTCTGAGCCTGGCTGGGATGGTGGATACCGACGTCAGCCAGCCTCCTCCTCCCTGCCTCAGCCCCCAGCCTCCTCCTCCCTGCCTCAGCCCCCAGCCTCCAGGGCGCCACCGTCACGCCCCGTCCAGCTCCTGAGCACACAGGCCTGGTTCCCACGCCTGAGGGAGGCGGCCCCGCCCCCACCCTGTCCCCCGCTCCCCGCAGCGGAAGCACCCCTGACCCTCGGCTCCAGTCCCACGCAGGGGGGCGGGGAGGTGGAGTCAGGAGGTGGGGCCCCAGTGTGTTGACTCAAATGGCCCAAGGGGTCCCCTCTGCTGGGCTACAGGGGCCTCGGAGGGCGTGGCGCAGGGCAGGCTACGTGAGGAGCGTGGCAGCCGTGAGCCAAGAGCAAGCAGGGGCCTCGCGTGCCAGGCGACGTGGCGGGCCCCGCGTCTGCCAGGGCTCATTGCCTGCGGCCCAGCCTGCTCCGGAGGAGGCACCGCTGAGCCCGGGGAGGGGCGGCGCGCTGCTTCCTGCGTATCAGGAGCCAACCCGCACCCCCTCCGGCCTCGCACCTGGGCCTCCCCCTGCCGTCCCGCCCCTCCCGGCTCCCCTCTGTCCCCGGGGATCAAACAGAAGCAGCCATGGGCAAAATACAATTTCATTTAACAAATTGAATTTGCTGCGCCTGCTAATCACGTCTGGTGTCGGCTCTGATCAGAGACAGAGAGAGGAGGCTGCAGCCCCGGGGGTCCTCGTGGTGGTGGTGGGAGGGGATCCAGGAACAACACAGGGAGGGAGACAAATCACCGCCTGGCCCAGGGGACGGCTCCCGCAGTAATAGGAGCTTGGGTCAGTACAGCATTTTATTAGATAAAAACAGAAAGGGGGGCGTCTACCCACCCCTTCCTCTGGCTCACGAGGGTGACCCCCTGGACCCGAGAAAGAACAGGGAGGCCGAAACACTGAGATGAGGGGAACCCGCAGGGCAGAGAGCCCCCTGGCCTCCTCCTAAGTTTTCTTACAAAAAGGAATGTCCGCTACAAACGCTGGGAAGGGAACTGCATTTGGCTCTTCCCCCAAGTGAGAGGCCTCTCTCCACCAGCAAAAAGCTGGGAGAGGGCTGCCCCCTCCGCTGGTGCAGGTGAGGGAAGGAGGATGATTTCAGTTTCTGAGCCTCATCGCCTCGCTGCCTTCAGTGCTCATCGAAGCCGGGCATGGGGAAAGCCCGGGCAAACTGCTCCACCCGCTGCCTCAGGTCATCCAGCCGTTGCCTTGTTTCTGGGTCATTGAGCAGGAAGGATTTGAAGTCCTGCAGTTTGGCTGGAGAGGGGTGAGGAGAGGTGGTCAGAGCCTTGGGGAAGGCGTGAGGACACGGGGAGGGCAGGCAGGGAGTGTACAGGGGCTGGCCAGGGCCGGGGTGGGGTCAGCCTACTCACTGGTCTTGCTCTTCACATCCAAGCCAACCTTGACCCCTTCATCTATAAATGCCACAACCTTCCGGAAGTCATCCTCCCGAAACTGCCGAGAGGTCAAGGCCGGTGCCCCTGGAAGAGAGGCAGAGAGGACTAGCATGGCCATCGGCCCCCTCGCAGCCCCCCTTCCCCCTGGACCCTCACTCAGGACTCACCAAGCCGGAGGCCCCCGGGCGTGATGGCGCTCCGGTCCCCAGGACAGGTGTTCTTGTTGGCTGTGATGGACACGAGCTCCAGCACCCGCTCCGCCCGCGCCCCATCCAGGCCCTTGGGCCGCAGGTCCACCAGCACCAGGTGGTTGTCGGTGCCACCTGAGGGGGAAGAGTAGACGGAGAATGATGAGTCCTGGGCCTTTGCCTGAGGCCACAGAGGCTCCCACCCACCCTCCTGGCTCACCGGACACCAGCGAATAGCCTCGCTCTAGCAGGGCGTCCGCCATGGCCCGAGCATTCTTCAGAACCTGCAGGGAGTACTCCCGGAACATGGGGCTGCAGGCCTGGAGAGGAGACAGCAGCACCTGGGACCCCGAGTCCTACCCCTTCCGCCCCTCTGCCCCCAGCACAGCTGTGACTGGTCTTGAGGCCTCCCCTCCGGGCCCCTCCCCTCCAGCAGCCCCGCTTCAGTTAACAAGAAGCAGAGTCTGAGCATCCTGATGCCCACCACCCGCCAATGACAGGCCCCCCAACCTGCTTCAGGGCCACAGCCACGGCAGCAATGGCATGGTTGTGGGGGCCCCCTTGCAGGGACGGGAACACAGCAAAGTTGATCCGGTCCTCAAGCTTATAAGGGATCTCCCGGCCAGTCTTGGGGTCCACAGACTGCACCCCCTTCCGGTAGAAGATGAGTCCTGACCTGTGTGGGAAGAGAGTGGTCAGAATCTAAGCTGGAGGGATGGGGAGAGCAGAGGAAGCCAGCTGGCCTGTACCCCCGAGGGCTCTCGGCCGCCTCAGTTGTGCTGGGAGTGCTTGGCTCCAGGGATTTAGGGGGAACAGAACCTTCCTCCCACCTCCCTCCCACCCCCAAACTCCCTGCCAGGGAACTGCCACACGGGCGAGAAAAGGAGAACCCTCAGACTGGGCAGAACTGTCTAGGTGGAAGGAGTTCCTCTCCGATCCACAGCAAAGCCCCGGGAATATGGCACGAAGGCCGGGAAAGGCAGGGCCTGACCTCGGGGGGCCTGACCTGGCCCCTCGAAGGGTCTTGTGAGTGGTCGTGGTGACGACATCCGCATGCTCAAAAGGTGAGGGGATCACCTTGGCGGCCACCAGGCCACTGATGTGGGCCATGTCTGCCATCAGGTGCGCCTTGACCTCATCACACACCTGGGCACGAAGAGAAACAGGCCTCAGTCTCCGGAGGGTCAGACAGGCCTGCCCACGCCTGCCACTCCTCCAGAACCTCCCCAGCACCCCTTGGGCAGCGGCAGGTGCCCCAGCCCTCCACCAACCTCCCGCATGCGGGCGTAGTCAATGAGGCGGGCATAGGCACTGGTACCAGCAATGATGAGCCGGGGCCGGAAGAGTCGAGCAGTGACTGCCAGCTGGTCGTAGTCAATGAGGCCGGTTTGGGGCTGGACAGAGAGACGAGAAGCTGACGTCCTTCAGAAGAAGCCCTGCAGCTCGCGTCCCTCCCTGACCTTCGAGGCTGCTCAGGGCTTCAGCCTCTCGCTTTCCCAGGAGAGGTTCCTGGGCCTCGAGCAGCGCCCTCCCCAGACCCTAGAGCACTCACTCACATTCAGCTTATAGGGCATGGACTCAAAGAAGATGGATGTGGCTGAGATCCGCTTGACATCAGACATGTAGCCGTGGGTGAGACTGGGGGGGAGAGGAAGTGAGAAGGCTTCTAAGCGGAAGACCTATTCCTTCCCTGCCCTGCTCCACAGGCCTGTCTCCGGAACACGGCTCCTGGCATGCACCACCCTCACTGCTCTGCCCACTCTGTGCTGGGCACTGGTTACTGGGGCCTTGGCATCCTCCCGCTCTGTACCCTGAAGGACAGGAGAGGCCTGTCCCATCTGCAGTGAATAACCCCTCTCTCATCGCCATATGGCCCAGGGAGCCCGCCGGCCACCTGCCCCACCCGTACTCACTGGCCACCGTCCGGCAGGTCCAGCCCCATGATTCGGTCGTGAGGTTGCAGAAGGGCTGTGTAGACAGCCAGATTGGCTGGGGACCCCGAATAAGGTTGGACATTGACTCCCCACTTTGCAGGATCCAGGTCAAAGGCCTCCAAGGCCCGACGCTGACACAGCAGCTCGATTTCATCCACTACCTGTGCTCCCCCATAGTATCTGCCATGGGATGGGGGCAAATCAGGGCAGAGAGAAAGGTTCCCCCATCCCCCTCAAAGTAGCAAAGGAGCGGGAAGGCTACTCCTCTAGACGCACCGGGAGGGTGCAGGCAGGTGTCCCCCACCGGGAGCACATCCCGGAGGCTGCCTCCAGCCCTCTGGTGTCTAGCCCTCACCTCTTGCCAGGATAACCCTCCGAGTACTTGTTGTTCAGACAGGACCCCAGGGCCTCCAGCGCAGCTCGGCTGCAGAAGTTCTGGGGTGAGGGGTGGGGGCAATGTCAGAAGGTACAGAGCCCCTTTGAGAGACTCCCACAGCCCACCCTGCCAGAGGCCAGGCTGCAAGGAGCTGAGCTCTACAGAAAGCTCTGTTCATTCAGGGTTCCTTGTCAGGCTTGGGGCACGGCCACGGGCAGCATCCTCAGAAACCTGGCTGCCATGATAGGTGTCCCCATGCCCCCATCCCATAACCCAGACTGCCTCTGCCTCTGCTTCAGAGGACAGTAAGAAGAGAAAAGAGATAAGGCCCAGCAGGAAGGCCCTGAGTCTGAAAGGGAGATCTGGAGAAAAGGCAGTAAGATGACCTGTGACTTCCCGTACCCATGGTGGCCCACGCCTTGGCCCTCTCCCCAGACCCCACCTCTGAGGCAATGAGCTCCAGGCCACGACACTGCCTGTCCTTCTCCCTCTGCAGCAGCTCCCACATCTCAGGGTCACTGTCTGACAGACTGTCCTGGCCTGTCCAGCCCCTGCTTGCTTCTCCAGTCTGGGTCTGGGCTGCTTCACTGTGCTGGCACCGCATGGCCATCCTGGCCAGCTGACCATGTCTCCGCAGAGGCTAAGGGAGGAACAGCCAGGGTTAAAGAAAAGGGTTCAGACAGTCTCCCAACCACCATCAGCCATGCCTATTAGGCCCTCTGGCTCTGAACCCAACAGCCAGCTGTCCAGCCGGCCTGTTCCAGTTTTCACCACCCCCACCTCCAAAAGCCAGTTCTAGAGCCAAGGCTGAGATCAATGTCCAGGGGGTGGTTCTGATTCCATCCATTCACCTCCCCTCAGAATCTTCCTCCGCTAGACCCATGAACCTCTGCAAAGCCAGAGGACAAAGTTTGTGTTCTAGAAGCTAGAGGTTCCAGAACTTCTCTACTCACTGGAACTAAAGGGTCTTCCCTGTAGGGGCTCCATAAACTGACATCCCGGGGGGGAGGGGGGGGATGGAGAGAGAGACCAAGTTGCAAGGGGTTAAGAGAACAGGCTCAGCATAGTTTGAGGTGTTTTTTTAGAACACTGGAGATAGCCATCTAATGTTCTGAAAACCAGGGTAGATTTTTAGCGGTCCCAGGGGGAGTGGTGGGAGTGGGGGTGGGGGTTGGGGGGCTGATGGCAGGGAAGCCAAAAACCACACTCAGTCCTCGGCCCGGCTCCTCTCCACCTCCCTCTAGCCCGCAGAGCCGCAGGACCCCTGATGCAAGCAGTAGGGCTCGGTTGCGTCATCGGCACGGCTCGGAGCTTCCAGGGAGACAGCTGGCTTGTCCAGACTGGGAATCCCGCTGTTTGCCGGCACAGGAGCCGTGGGCAACTGTTACCGTTCCCTCCCCAAATGCCACGTAAAACGGATGGTCACATGGCCTGGGGCTTCTGATTACCGGAGTGGAGAGCCCCCCCTCTCCCCCGTATACCCCGCCTGCACCCCAGGGTGTCGGTGATTCCCAACTTGCGCGTCCGTTCCCAGAAGACCCAGACCATGTGCGTGGAAAAGCCAGGAGAACCCAGAGTTTGTGAATGGATATTACGGTAGGAGGGGAACTTGCTTTTAATCACCCAGACTCCCGAGCCCCATTCTTACCCGAGTGGCCCAGAGCCAAGAGAAAGACAGCATCGTAACCCGAAGTCGCCGGAGGTCAAGACACCAACTGTAGCTCGGAGAAGCAAGGGGTCCGAAAAGACTGACCCGAGAGCGCATGCGTGAGAACAGCGGTCCTAGTAGCCACAGGATTGAAGGTAGAGGCCTACGCATGCGTGAGGCGACTTTAAGGTCTTCTGGGAATTGTAGTTTTTCCACCTTTCTTCCGCTTCATTTCAGTCTGTAGCCCCAGGCTCAGAGACTCTGGTCTGAAAGAAAAGAGATCTACTGCCGCCCCCTCCCTCTCACCGTCCTAGATATATCTTTGGGTCTTCCCCTCCACCCTCCTCCACCCTCACCCTGTTGTCCAGACAACAATCATTTATTGGATACCTCCTGGGAAATACAAAGACTCCTATATAAGCTAGAGAGCCATGGTGCACTGGAAGTCACCTGGTTTGGAAGGGTGAGAGAGGCAAATTCAAGTTCCAGCTCTGGAACTTACTAGCAAATTAGCCTCTCTGGCCTCAGTTTTCTCACTTGCAAACCAATAATAAAATAACATGTGGAGGGGACATGCTCTGGAATGGATTGTCCTCCCTTCCTCCTCTGACTTACTAGCCTGCCTTCCCCTTGGCCATCTCCTCCTTCTCCGGAGTGAGGCGCCCCTTCCGGTCCTTGTACGTGTTGGAATTTGTTTACTGTTCACCTCTTGCCTTCCAGGCAATCAGTAAGCTCTCTTTGTTTCCCTGGGGCTATAGATACTTGGAACTGGAAGAGATCTTCCGTTTAGCCTGAGTTCCTCTGACCTCATCTTTGGGGGCTGGAGTCATTGACTTTGCCAGGAGTAGGTTCCCAAACCTGGGCATCGGAATTAGCTGGGAAATCGGATATAAATATGAATGTGACGCCTTTCCTCAGAGGATCAATGGATCTTAAAGAATAGTGGGCATTTGCCCACTCATGCTGACACGCAATGAAACCTCGCCTCATGATTCTAATAAGCAGTGATTTTGAGAACCATTTTGAGAACATGGCAATATTACACATTCATTCATTCAACATACATATTGAGCTTCTATTCTGTGCCAGGCATGCCATAGCCCTGGAGGTTCAAGAATAGATTACTGACTGCTGGGACATGAAGAAGTGAAAAAAAAAAAATGCAACAAGTGCAATTCCAGGCATGGGCACCTCACTCTGTGCCCACAAGTCCAGACATCTGAAGAAAAGAGTGGGAGGAGGAAGAGAGGATGACCTTGCCAGAGAGGGGAGGACAATCCATCACAAAGCAACTTCATATGCAAAATCGCATATTATTTTATTATTGCTTTACAAATGAGGAAACTAAGGCCCAGCTGGGTTAACTTACTAATTCCAACCATTTTCACTAGATCCTCATAACCAGGCCTCATACCCTTAGCTCTATTTTAGATTCTCATATCCTTAGCTCTAACCTCATTCCCTCCCACTCCTGCTCCAAGTGTTCTCATGTCTTCCCAGCAATAGGCCTGTGATAGGAGTCCACTGAGTTCTATTTCCTCCATTCTCTGACCCAGAACCACTTCCCACCTCTCTCCTCCTTTCGGCATCTACCCGTCCATCCATCCATCCATCCATTCATCCGATAGTTATTTCCCCCTTACCGATTTTTCACTCCCGGGAATGTCTGGGTCACACTCGCCTTTGACTCAGTTTCCCGCTGGGAAATCCCCTGGGGAACCCTGGACCCAGGACTAAAAGCAAAGAAAGGCTGAAGAGGAGGCACCTTCTGTGCCACAGCTTGTCTGTACCCCCTCCCAGCCCCCTTCTGGGGTCCCCGGGGGAGGGGGTGATGGCTGAGCCTGAGAACTGCTAATGAAGCCGCAGCCAATTAACGCTCAGGCCAGGGTAGGGGGCGGATAAAATTAGCAGCCGCGGCTGCGAGCGGGAGCTGAAGGCTGGAGCTGGAGGCGGGGGCGGGGAAGGTGGGCAGCTGGCTGAAGGGGGCCTTGTTTGCTGGCGGCTTACAGAGGCAACGAAGCCTCACTCTCCGGACTCTCCTGTCCCTTCCCCCACCCCCTCGTCTCAGGCTCAGGCCTCACTCCCTCTCTCCCTCGTCCGTCTGCAAACTCAGCGCCCACGAAATTAGGAAGGAAAAGGAAGATCGATGACTCCAGATGCCGCAAACACCGTTCCCCTTCCCCCCACCTGCCACCTCCTGCCAGCCCCACGGAGCTTAGCAGGTTGTCAGCGCTCTGCTTACGAAGTCCCAGCATCTCCTTGACTGGGAATTCAAGGCCTTTTATACCTCCTCCCCGAAATCGTCCCAAACAGCCCGCTAGCAGTCCCCTCTCAGGCTCAGTCCTCGTCCTGTCTGCTGCAGCTCCGCTCTGCCCACCTCTGGGAGGAAAATCCCCACCTCTAGCAGGGCTCCGACACCAAGGGTCGTCCTCATCTCTGTGTGATGTGGTTTTGGATGACCTCCAAGGTGCTAGCTCCATCAGCATTTGCCTCAGTTTCCCAGTTTCTACAAGGTGGAGGGGGAGAGGGGCTGGCCCGGCCTCTGCCACACATACACCCCTTCCCCACAAAGGTCTCACAGAAAGGCGTATTGGATTTCACTTTATTTTGTTTTAGAGTAGAAAAAATATCACTGAGAGGAAGCAGCTGGAAAGGGGCAGGTGGGGCAGGCCTGCAGGGACCGGAGGGAGGCGGGCAGAGGGCAGGGGCCAGAGTCTTCCCCTAGGCCCAGGCGTCTGCCTCCACTCCCCTAATTGGGGTGCTGGAGAGAGAGGAACAGGCGCAGGGCAGGCCAGAGGGGCGGGGGAGGGGCCGCGGCTTACACACGAACGTCTTCACAGTCTTTTACTGAGGGGGGGGGGGGCAGAAGAACAAGAGCCTGGGAGTGAGGAAGTCAGGGTGGGATGAGGGTACCAGGCTGGGCGTGATGACCGCTGAGGGTGAAGGGCGTGTCCAGCCCCGGGGACCCAATGCGGACACAGGGGACGCTGGGACCGCCTTTTCTGGGGCTGCGCTCTGGTTCCTTCACTTTGGGGTGTAGCTGAGGGGGCCTCAAAGGTACTCCCCATAAGGAAGAGGGGACCCACGCCAGCAAACAGCCCCCAGAACGGAAGGGTGAACGGAGGGCCACAGCAGTTGCGGGTCCCTGGGGGGAGTCTCACTTCGGGAGGCTGGGATTTGGCGGGAAGCTCGGGGCAGGGGCAGGGGCGAGGGCGGGGGCGCCCTATCCAAAGTAGGGGTTCTCGCTCTGGAAGTTGTAGTCCGGGCACACCTTCTGCACCAGTTTATAGTCAAAGCTGAGGAAGGAGACGAAGATGCAGATGACCTTGAAGGGCTTGGCGCACAGCCAGGCGGCGTGGCTCTGCGTGTGCTCGGTGAAGCACACCTGCGAGGGGTCGTACAGGCACGGGCGGTGCTTGCGCGCGCGGTCGGTCTTCTCGTACTCCACGTGGCAGTTGAACGCGCGCGACTCCTTGGCCCCCGGCACGCCCAGCGCTCCCCCGAGGGGCCCCGCCAGGGCGCCCCCTAGGCTGCCTCCCAGCCCCGCCCCCGCAGCCGCAGCCGCCAGCCCCAAAGCGGGGGGCCCCAGCCCGGGGAGCACCCCCTCCAAGGCCAGCGTGGACTGCAGCGGGTGGGGGGCGGGCCCGGGCAGCCAGACGCCCCCGAACTCGACGCGCTTGGAGGGCGGCACGATGCTGACGCTGAGGTTGCCCAGGCTGGACGAGTTGTGGCGGAAGTACACGCTGAAGGTGCCGTTCACGTGGTCCACGATCTTGCCCGTCACCAGCAGCGAGAACTTGAGGGTGTGCACCCGGAAGTAGAAGTCCCCCCAGCCGAAGATCTTCTTGGCGCGGGCCGCCTTGAGGGACGGCTTCCTCTTGGGGCGCTGCGCCGGGAGCGCCCCCGCCGCGCCCGCGGCCCCCGCCCGGGCCAGCGCCCCGGTGTGGTTAGCGGCCCAGGCCCAGCTCCAGGCGCGCGCGGCGCCCAGGCCGTCGGGGGCCTTGGGCGCCTGGAGCTGCTGGGCGGGGGCGCCCCCTCCGGCCGCTGCGGGGCGCAGCTCCATGTACTGCGGCCTCCCGGACTCCGGCAGCTGGGCACGGACGGTCTGTGGACCAAAGGGAAAAAAAAAAAAAGAGGAAGAAAAAGAGATGCTGGGCTGAAAACGGTTTGGCTCAGTGGATAGAGCGTCTGTCTGCGGACTGAAGGGTCCCGGGTTCGATTCCCGTCAAGGGCATGTACATTGGTTGCAGGCACATCCCTGGCGAGGGGTGTGCAGGAGACAGCTGGTGGTTGTTTCTCTCTCATTGAGGTTTCTAGCTCTCTATCCCTCTCCCTTCCTCTCTGTGACAAATCAATAAAATATATTTAAAAGAGAGAGAGAGAGAGAGAGAGAGAGAGAGAGAGAGATGCTGGAGTTGTCCCTGGCCACCCAGCCGGGGCCTTCCCCATGCCAGCCCCTTTCCAAAGCCACTACTACAAGGCCACATGGAGCCCAGCGGCCGCAGGAGTGGTCAGGGCGGGTGGTGGGAGCAGAGCCGCACCCCTGTCAAGCTGTGTGGTCTTGGCCAAAGCACCTCACCTAGCCAGGCCTCAGTTTCTGCACCTGAGATAAGACTGCCAGTCCTTGTGTTCTTCCAGATCTGCCATGCGGCTGAAAAAGCCCATGCCAGGGAGGGTTTGCAGATGGGGAGAGGGACTCCGTCTCCTCCAGCCCCAGCCAGGAATCTGGCTGGTTCCCAGCAGCGATGTTTAACCTTTTTCATCTCATGGCGCCCATAAACTAATGACTGAAATTCTGCAGCACACCAAAAATATTATTTTGGCCAATCTGACAAAAAAAATAGGTATATTTTTTATTCATCCATACCGGATAGCTATTGTGTTGGCCATTGTCATTTTTTTAACTTGACCATCTAAGGGAAAAGAGAGGAGGTCAAAGCCCCTGACTAAATAGTCAAGTATTGCATGTTTTAAGAATTCTCGCGGCACACTAGAGAGCAGCGGCACATCGGTTGAAAATCGCTGGTTCAGAGTAATGAGCCAGGGAGGAGCTGGACTCAGGCAAGTGAGGCCATGACCATTGTCAACATCCAGCATCAAGGAAAAGGTGAAGCCCAAGCAGATTTTGGCTTCGGATAGATCAGCGGCAGGTGGCCTGCGGACTGAAGGGTCCCTGGGTATGATTCCAATCAAGAGCACATGCCTGGTTGCAACTCCATCCCCAATGGGCGGGGGGCGGCGGGAGGGGGGGTGGGGGAGGGAAGGTGTGCAGGAGGCAGCCAATCAATGATTCTCTCTCATCATTGATGTTTCTATCTCTCCCTCTTTCTTCCTCTCTGAAATCAATAAAAATATACATATTCAAAAAATTAAGAGAAGCCCTCCAGATGCCTCTGTGGAGACTAGAGCCCCACCCCAGCCTCATCTTCTACTCCGTGGTGGGGAGGAGCATGGGAAACCAGCAGAGCTAGGGAGAGCAGTGGACAGTCAGTAGGCTTGTGGGTGCTTCTCCCCACCTCCAGCGCTGCTGCTCAGTGGAGGAGGCCGACGGGTGGTGCTTCCGGGGCTGGGGGCTCAGGCTCGCTGCTGCTCAGTGGAGGAGGCCGACGGGTGGTGCTTCCGGGGCTGGGGGCTCAGGCTCGGGGCTCGGATGGAGCGGCCGGAGGAGCCGCCTTGGCCCGCCCCCGCCCATCTCCTTGTGTCTCAGGTGGCAGCGATCTGGGAGACAGCGAGGGCTCGAGTACAAGATAGATCGAGAGGCGGGAGCGGTGGGGCCAGGCCTGGGCCATCAATTATCTGGTGGGGGGGGCAGGGGTGGCCAGGAGCGAAGGAGACAGGCGGTCAGAGCGAGAGGAAGAAATATGGAGATGCCGCTCCAGCGGGGAGTGGGAGGGAGAGGAGCTGTACATGTCAGAGTGTGTCAGTCAGACCGTGCTAGCTGTGGCTGTTAGGGTGGCCCTTACTGGTGTGGGTTCAGACTGGGGAGGGAGCACTGCATGTGTCAGTCTGGTGTGGTTGTGTTTCTGATAGCCTAGGATGGCTGTACTGCGTGCCTGTCTACCTGGAGTGATGCCTGTGCCTCTGTGTGTGTGTGTGTGTGTGTGTGTGTGTGTGTGTGTGTAGCTATGGTGATGGATGTGTGTCTGCCTAGGGTGGATGTGCATGGTGGTTATGTGTGTGCCCTGGTGACTGAATGTGAGCGTGTGTGTCGCCTGCTTGTGGTGGCTGAATGTTTGCTGCGTCAGTCTGTGGCTGCTTGTATGTGTGCCTGGGATGTATGTGTGGGTTGTATGTGTACCTGGTTGGCTGTGTGTATTAATCTGAGCAAGGCTGAGGCTGTGTATGGCCTTGTGGTGGGTGCATCTGTGTGACTGGGCTGGCTATGTGTGATCTCTGGGTGCACGTGTCCTGTGTGAGTCCCTCTCATCCTGTGTCCAGTGTCCAGCTCCTCCTACAGCATGTGTGTCAGTGCATGCACAACGACAGGATAAGTGCTCTCCCCGATTCTCCGGGGTGCGTGTGTGAGCTGTATGTTAGTGGCCCCTGCTGGTTGGGCTCGGGGTAGGTAGAGACCTGACAGCATGGTGTCTCCTCTGTTTGTACACACCCCTGTGTATACGCCAGGTGTCCACAGGGAACGGGAACGGCAGAGCCAGGCAGCTGGGCTACAATCTCACCGCCGGTCCCCATCCCCGCAGCGCTGCGATCCTGGGTTATTAATGCGGCAGCCGCCACCCGACCGTCATACATATTTATCGCCCCCCACATCCTCCTCCCGCCACACTGCCTCCCAGCGCAGGTGAGGGGTGCGGGCGCAACAGTGATTGACTCAGACAGACACGCCTGAGCTGGCAGCTAACGCCCCAGGCTGGGCCCGGAAGGGCTGGGGGAAAGGGGCCTGGGCCACGGCAGGAGGGGGAAGGACCTCCCAGGAAGTGGGCTTGGAGAGAGGAGAACGGAGCCCTGAACGGGCACAGGCACGGCAGACGGGTGTGTGAAGGGAGCGATGAGGGAGTGGAAGGTGGGGAGGGGGCCATTTGAACTCTGACACCTGATCTCACCTCTCTGGGCCCAACCACTGCTTTTTTCTGGGGACTCCCATCAGTCCCTGAAGCCTGCTCCAACAAACCCCAAATGGCTGAGTCACCCCTGCCCCCCCCCCCAGCAGCACCCAGTGTCCTGCACCCCGCTCAGGTCCTGTGGGGGGCTGGCTCCATCCAGCACTCCTCCCTGGCAGGGGCTGCGACAGGGTGGCGGGTTTGACGGGGTGGTGGGGGTGCCGGGTCCCCCCCATCCCAGACAAATTGACATTGACGTCTGTGCTTCTCTGATCCCCAGGCTTCGGGCATCTGCGCCCGCCGGCCATAGAGGGCCGCCCGGATGAAAGGGAAGAGCTGGGGGGAGGGGCTTGGACAGGGAAGAGCGAGGGTCTGTGAGGAAACGAGCCGAGAAATGGGAACACGGAGTAAAATAAAATAAAATCCTCCCTCCGGCTGCCTTGCTCGCCTGCTCCCGCTCCCTCTCCCTCTCTCGCTCTCCCTCTTTCACTGTTTTCCATCCCCTCCCCTCCACTCTCAGTCTCCTTTTTTGCCTCTCCGTCTCTTCCTCACTGTTTCTAATTTTCCTTTTATGATTCTATTTTCCTCCCTGTTTATGTCTCGGCGGTTCTTTCCCTCTATCCTTCAGGTTGTCTTTCTCCAGCTGTGTGTGTGTGGGGGGGGAGTGGGGAGTGGGAGGGAGGGGAAAGCAGGGTGACTAGGAAGCCCCACTTTGTCCAGAGCCCATGGTGCCCTCCTCTCTCTCCCAGGACTACGAGGAGAGCAGGGTGTTGTCCCCCAGGTCCCCTCAGTCCGGGCCGGTTTAATTAAGCTAATTAAACGCGGTGACATTTGCGGAGGGAGGCCGGCGGCGGGCGGGCGAGGGTGCGCGGAGGAGTTCGGTGGCAGACAGGGATGTGGGGGTGGTGGGGTGCGCTTCGCCAGGTGCCTCCAGGCCCAGGCCGGGTGGGAGTCGAGCCAGGAGCGCTTTGTCCCCAGGCAGCGAGCCCACGCACTGGAGGGGAGTTGAGGCTGCCTCTTGCCGCTTAACAAACTCCATGGGGGGGGGGTGCTGTTTTGGGGCGGGAGCGCTGGGAACAGGGGGAGGATGAGACTGTGGGCCCCCAGCCGCATTGCAGGGTGCGCCTCCCTGGGGCCTCCCGCCTGGTCCCTGGCTCCTCTCCGGCTCCGTGGGTCAGGCAGGGCCGCTGAGGGTTCCCGTGGGGGTGGGATGGCGCCCGGGGCAGGGGCAGGACAGCTCTGGCCTGGCGGGGACGAAGAGGGGAGAGTTCCGGAGACCTTGCACCTAGAACTCCGCGGGGCACTGCAGTCAGGGCGGGCGAGCAGCTGGGAGTTGGCTGGGGCTCAGGGGTGGAGACAGGAGTGAAGACAGAAGTGGGGAGGACAGGACGGGCTGCAAGAGGCACGGCCCAGAAATGGGGGGCCCTGGGCGTGTGCACCCAGAGAGTCGGGCACTGGGTACAGCAATGAGGAAGGAACAGGAATAGGATCAGGGGTGAAGGTGGGAACCGGGAGGAAGAGGAGTTCAGACATGGTGGATGGGCATTGGGCAGGGGTGCCGAGAGGGGGGAACCAGGGGAATGGCATGGGAACCAAAGTGAGCGTGGGGGGCAGGGGTGGTGGATGAGCGATGGGCTTTGGGGAAGGGCAGCAGGGAGAAAGGGGGGGGGGTGAGGGCTGTAGGATGGGGAGGGTTGGCGGTGGGAAGGGAAATGGGGGATGGGAAATGGTTACTGGGCAGAAACAGAGGTGCAGAAACCTAGGGGTGGGGTGAGGGTGGGGGTGGGGATGGAGACAGGACTGGGAAGTCGGACCAGTGGGGAGTGGAGGCCAGGGAGGAGGCAGCTGAGGACAGGTGTGGAGACAGGCAGAGGGCGAGGTGGAAGCCGGGCTGGAGCAGGCTGTGGGAGGGGCCAGGCAGGTAGAGGTGCAGATACCTCCCCCCAGACAGCATTACAGTGTGTGCGTGGAGGGGACCAAGGGGGGACAGGCTCTGCCCTTGGGCCGGTACCCCTCCCCCTCAGCCCCGCCTGCTCCCGGCCTGCAGCGCAAGGCTCACCGTTATCTGAATTTTGATTTTATTTTATTTTATTTCCCTGCTTCCCAGAGCCGGCGCGGTCCCCCCGGGAACGGCGCCCCCCGCCCCCCGCCCCGCGCCTCACTTTATTATTGCAATAAATGTGCCTATAAAGGCGCGGGCTCGGGGCGCTGCGTGGGGGGGCGGGAGCCGGAGCGGGGATGTAATTTCCCGGAGCCGGAGCCGGAGGGGGAGTGGGCGGGGTGGAGGGGAGGAGGGGGAGGCGAGGGAGAGGGGAGGCTCGCCAATTTCCAGCGCTCGGGGCTGAGCTCCCTGCTCTCCAGCCGCCCTGAGGTCGCTCCCACCCCACGTCCTGAAACTCCCCACTGCTCCCCAAAACGCTGGGGTCCTGGAACCCCTCCCACAGGACCCGCCGTCTCTCTATTATCTGCCCTGCCCCCCTCCTGGACCTCCAGCGTGGGGCGCTGCAAGGCTCTGTCCAAAGTTCCCCCACCTGGCCAAGGACTGCATCCCTGACCCCTGGGGTGCCCTCTCCGCCGGCCTGGTCTCTTTCAGTGTGGTCTCACCCTTTCCCTGCCACCCTGTCTCTTCTCTGACCCTGGGGGTCCTTCTTGCCTTGCTTCTGCCCTCCACTACTCCACCTCTTCTCCCCTCACCCTGGCCTGGACCCCCACCTGCTCCCCTGCGCCCACCTGAGACTCTTTCCGGCGGGCACCCCTCCCACGCTCACGGCTTGGCCAAGGGGAGCTGTCACAGCAACCCCCTCTCCGAGCCCCTGGCCCAGCTGCAGCCCTGATCACCCCCAGATCCCTGCCCACAGCGACAGCCTCGCCTCACACGTGCCTAAGTGGTCCAGCCAAGGATTAGCTGGGGGGCTAGCGAGCTGGTGGGAGCGGGAGGGGCGGGCGAGACGTGTGGCCAGGCCAGCTGGCTAGGCAACTCGGTTCGGGCTTAATCATCCCCCAGGCAGGACAGAGCTGGAAGGTCCCCCAAGGCCCCACCCCTGCCCTCCCCTAGCTAATTAGTAATTAGTGATTAGTGATTAGTAACTATTGATCTCCTGCTGCTTCTCCCAGTAGACAGATGCTTTGGCCAGGAGTGGGGAAGCCGGAGATAGAGAGGGAGAGGAGGAGTTGGAGACCTGAGCCCAGGCCATATTAGAAAGATTCTGAAGGCGGCCTGGCCAGAGGGCAGGGCTCCAGCGTCAGCAGGAGCCAGGGTCCCAGGTCCTGAGAGGAGCACAGAGGAAGGAGGAAGCTCCCGCAGGCAGGTGACCAGGGTGGGGAAGGCAGGCTTGTGAGCAGGAACCATTAAGGTTTCCCGAAGAGCTGTCCTGTAAACTGTTCCCCCACCTCTTACCCAGTGTCAGCCCTGCCAGCCTGGCACCCACCGAGCCGGCCCTGCCTGCACACACACACACACACACACACACACACACACACACGCTCACTCAGATACAGGAACTCATCCTGAGGCTCACAGCTCAATGTCCACACTCAGAGCCACGAGCACGCAGACCCAAGCTCACAAACCCTGGACACGCACACAGACCACACAGAGGCTGCAGCCCACAGGGGCCCTGGAGATCTACCCTGGGTGCACATATGTACACAAGCCCTACTCACACGTGCACACAAGTGCACACAGATTAGTACTTGGACAGACACACAAACACTTTTCTACACACACTTCCCATGCACAATTAGAAACAGCCTCACACCTACCGTCTGTGCGCACAGGTGACCCCTTCTCACATACAAATAAACTGGACCAAGTGGCAGATACACACTTGCCCGCTGGCTCCAGGACAAAGACCCACGGCTGCAGCTCACACACACCCAGCCACGTCCCCGTTGCTCACATCCTCGTGCTTCCTCTCCCTCAACTCTCCGCCAGATGTTTCATTCCCCTTCAGGGGCAAAGGAAATTAAAGCAGATCTGTCCACGGGGGAGTCTGTGTGAGGGGGAGAGTGGGGAGGGGCGGGGGAGGAAGTTGAAAGGAGGAGCAGGGGGTGCCATCCCCTCGCTTCTCCCCCAGGCCGTCACAAAGAGTGGGTTCTGGGGCACAGCCCCTGCAGTCCTCCCAGGACAGAGCTGGGCAGCAGGGGCAGAAGTCCCCGCCAGGGGAAGCAGCTTCTGTGGAGGGGGCTCCTCTGCCTGCCTTCCAGCCCCTCAAGGTCACCAGGCTGGTTTGGAGAACCGAAAAGCTCCATGCCAGGTTCCCTGGGCAGCCCCTGCCCTGCTGCCAGAGCAGCGGAGTGTGATCTGGCCCAGCAGATGGGGGTCCAAGGGTTGTGGGCAGAACTACACCCCTTCACACTCTTCAGGGGCTGGGAGCAGGGGTTCGGGAGCCACCTGCTTGCCTCCAGAGCAGCTAGGTTATGGCCGGAGCGTAGGAGACAGAAGTGGGCAGGGGAGCTGACTGGAGGAGGCCGGGAGCAGGGCCTAGGTCCCCCCTGGGGCACACAGCGGGGCGCAGATGGTCGGCTGTGAAGCAGGCACTTGCACTCACCCCTTCAAGCCAGCACCACTCACCACGCCAGCGTGCACCCGCACCCTGGTCCCAGCCCTGGACACCCCGCCTGGCTGCCCGGCACACACGCGCACGCGATGCCCCGCTCTCCACGCCGCTGAAGCCTCCAAGTCAGGAGGAGGCAGGTCAAGTCGGGGCTCCCTCGCCCAGGAGCTGGAGAAAGGGGCATTTTTTTAGGGGGGCATGCAGGGGATGGGAGGAGAGACTCCCCTTCCAGACAGCCCCTGCCCCCTGTCAGCCGGCGCCCCCGAGGGGTGTGTGTGTGCGGGGTGTGCAGGGAGGGGTGTCTCCGCGGGACACGGGCTGGGAGGCTGTAGCCTGGTCCGGCCTCAGTGGTGCGGTCGGTGTGCGCGCTGTGCCGGGCTGTGCGGGTTGGGACCCGGCGCCGCCTGGCGCGGTGACAGGCGCCGGAGGGACGCGAAGGCGCGAGCGGCGCGGCGGGAAGACAGGCGGGGAGGCGGCGAGGCTGACACCCCGCCGGCGGTCTGCCTGCCTGCCTGTCTGTCTGTCTGTCTCGCACTCCCGCTCCGTCTGGCGCACTCTCGGGTCGGGCTCCGTCCCCTGCCCGCGCCGCCCGATCCCAGGCGGGCCCCCACCCCGTCCGGCCCCGACCCCCAGCCAACTTGCCGCGGAGAGCGGGTCCGGGAAGGGGCGTCTGTCTGTCGGCATCCCCCCGGCCGCGGAAAGTTGGCTCAGGCTGGGGCGGGGCGGGCCGGGGAGCCCCTCGCACTCGGGACCTTCGCGCCCCGGACCGGACCCGGACCCGCACCCGCACACGGACCCGCACCCGGACCCGGACCCGGACCCGCACCCGCACCCGCACCCGCACCCGGACCTGGTGCGCGGCGCAGCCCCGCCGCCGCCTTACCTTCTCCAGGAGCCACGGGCCAAGGAGCAGGAGGAGCCATTCCGGGAGCAGCCGCATCTTCCCGGGGCGGGCGGGTCCGGGGCGCGGGCGGCGGGGGGACCGGCTGGCCGGGGGGACGGTGCCGGGCGCGAAGCGGGGCCGGACTGAGCGCGGGGAGCGGGGGGCGGGGAGCGGGGCGGGGCGGGGAGAAAGTTGGGTCGGACTCGGCGGGCGGGGCGGGGCTCCGCGCCTCCAATCCGGGCGGCCCCGCGCGCCCCCTCCCGCCGGCCGGGGGCACGGAAGGTGACTTTCACCCCGGCCCGCCCGGCACGCCCCGGCGCAGGTGCGAGGCGAGGGCGGCGGCCGGCCCGGGACCGGGGCTGGGGCTGGCCCCGACCGGGAGGAGGGCAGCGCTAGGGGAGCGAGCCCCCGAACGGCGTCCCCGAGGGGCCCAGCATGACCCGAACCCCTCGGTGCTTGGGGCGGGATCGGGGCCGGGGCGAGGTGAGCGGGCGGGGCCCCGGGCGGCCGCCGCTGCTGACGGGGATGGATGGGCGCCCGGCGGCTCATTCGGCCGGGAGATGAGAATCATTGATCACGGACGGAAACCCCATCACGTCTGTCAATAGGGCTGACGAACGGCGCCGCCGCCGGCCCCTCCCGCCCCGGGGCACCTCCGCTATCTGTGTTCCTCGGCTGGACCGGCCTTTCACCTTTGCCCTCATCCCCCCACCCCCGTGCCCCAGTGCGCCCCAAGCCCCCTCAGCGCTGCCTGGCGTGGGCCATGGGTGCAATCTCTGTTCCCTCCCCTCTCACTATCCCATCTTTCACCATCAGCTCCTCCATCCCTATCCCTTCCTCTGTCTCTGTCTCTGTCCTTGTCTCTGTCCCTATCCTCTTGGCTGTTTCTTCACCAGCTCCCTCCTCCTCCCAGTCTCTCTCTCCCTCTCCAGCCCGGTCTTCAGCTGTCAGCTGTTGCTATGCACGGATGCTTGGCTGAGGTTGTGGTATGACCCACACCTAGACAGCTAGAGAGAGGGACAAGCCAACGATAGGAACAAACAGAGATGGGGACAAGGAGAGAGAGAGAGACAAGCAGAGGCAGAGAGGTGCACACGCTGAAACACTGCACACACACCCAGCCATGCACACAGGGGCAGGCCACACCGCGGAGGTGAGCACACAGAGTGGAGCACATGCACGCAGAGGCCAGACATGCTAGAGGCACACGGACACCCGGATGGACACAGCTGGTTTACATGCATGGGGGAGCAGGCACAGACAGAGACAAATGCACAGCTGCACCGAGAGACAAGCACACCCACCAGGTCTTCAGAGCCTGCCCTGCTTCCTCGCCTGGCAGAGGCAAGCGACCAGAGGACACACAGGCAGGTGTACGCTGGCACTGCCAGCCCAGAAGACAAGCCCAGGCGCGAACAAGCAGACAGATAGAGGGATGTGACAGACACTCCCACAAAAAGATCAGGGAGGCTGCGAAGATGAGGCAGGCAGGCAGCCGGCCAGCCAGGGGGCAGGAATCTGGGTGCCAGTGGAGCAGAGAGGAGGCAGGAGTGGCCAGGCCAGAGGCTCCGAGAATTCTGAGCCCCGGCCTCAAGTCCAGGGGTGTGGCAACAGTGGGTGGGGGCTTTGGGTGCCCAGGACAGAGGTCCATCACTCCTACCCCATCTATCCTTCTGCTACAATCTCAGGTCCCCCCCTTCTCCTTCCAGCCACACACACACACACACACACACACGCGCGCGCACACCTCCCTTCCCGGGGTCTTTGCCTGTCTCCGTATTTCTCCATCTCTGTATCTCATCTCTCTCGTTCTGTTTATATCGCCCCTGCCCCTGGTTCTGCCCGCTCTTCCTCCTGCTAGACCCTCTCCTTGCTGTTCCTGGGGGGCAGAGAGAGGATGCTGACAGGAGGGGTGTGCCTTCCAAGCCGCAGCTGGGGACCCCTCTCGCTTTGCCCAGGATCTTGAGGCGACAGGCAGAGAATCAGTGGCTCCCCGGGGGCGCCAGATGCACGGCTGGCAGAGGGAGTGAGGGGGTGGGGCTGCTGGTGGTGTGGTGGGGGAGCAAGCGGGGCGCTGGGGGAGGGAGAGGAGCTGGAGAGGAGCCGCCGGCGGAGGGTGGAGGGGGTGTGGCCGAATAGCCCCTGGGGAGGAAGGGAGAGGCAGGGCTGGGATCCGCCGCAGGTGCATAATTAGTGTGCTGGGGAGGGGGCTGTGCCGGCTTCTGGATGAGCAGCGCTGCAGGAATGCATGCGCCACCTGGTGGACAGATGGGTGCGCAACCTCCCTCTCAAAGATCAAGGACGCCCCTTCTCAGCAGGATTCTTCTCCCCTTTGTGGAGCCGGGCAGCGAAGATCTCAGAGGGGGCTTGGAGGCCCAGGTTGGAGGTGAAATCTCAGAGCTAAGAGGGAAGGGAATGAAAGGCAGTGCTCCTCCTTTGGGAGTTGGGTAAGGGGCCTTTGCAGCCACCTTAAGCTCATATTTCCTGTTGAGGAGTGGGACTCGGGGTAAAGCTGTGTGACCTGCAGGAGGTCCCCTTCTCGGGCCAGGAGTTGAAGTAGATGGGTGTCCCTTTGATTGTAGCTGTGCTTTCCTGTCCACAGATGGGGGTCTGTGGGTGGCCCACGGGGCCTGGCAAACTAGTTTTCCCTGCTCTCCTTCACTCTAGGACCCCCTTTCTCCTGAGTCCAGGGTTCTACTCCTGGCATCTGATTAACTGGTCTCCATGACATGTGAGATGGTAGCGCTTTAAGAACAACTCCAGGCAGAGAGCTGTGTGGGACCGCCCTGAAGGGTGAACAGTCCCCCCACAAGCCTAGTGTACTCATGTCTCACGGCAGGACTTCTCCCTGGGAATCCTTTGGGTAGGGGCGGGGGTGGTGTCCCATAAGAGTGACAATGCAGAGAAACAGATCCTGGGGTTAGTATCCCAGAGCCAAGGGAAACAAGATCCAGGGGGATGAAGTCACCTGCTCAAGGCCACACACAGGGGAGAAGCAGATCTCTCCTGTCAAGTCCAGTGTCACCCCCTTCTCCCGCCACTGCCCAGGTGAAGGGAAAAGGGCACTCAGACGCTCAAGCCCGCTTCCCGCGTGGCGTGGAGCAGGGCTCCCTCTGGTGGCTGAAGCCGGAAAGCACAGCCCAGCTCCCATAATCTCACAAAGGTAGACAGAAGTGGCTTTTTTTTTCTTCTCTTTTTTTTTTCTTTTTCTTTTTTTTACAATTTTATTTTATAACAATATCTGTTATTTAGTTGTAAAGGAATTCAGCAAAAATTATTAAAACGTCCGGTCCCCAAAACGGGGCTGCCTGCTTGCCCTTCCTCGGTGTGCCCCACCTCGTCCCCAGGGGAGGGGAGTCTGGGGGGCTGTCTACCGAAGTCTCCAGCCCTGGGAGCCCCGTGGGGGCACTGGAGATGGGGTTCCTGTCTGGGAGGGGTACCGAGCGTGGCCGTCTCAAGGTTGCCCCTAGAATGGGGGCTGGGGCATGGGATGGACGCCCCCGAGAACTAAAAACTCCATCCTTTCCTTCCTACCTTAGCCAGAGCCAAATCCTCCAGACAGGGGCCGTGAGGACTCTCCGCCCCAGAGCCAGCCCTCGGGGAGCCGGACGGGTAACGGGGGGGGGGGGTGGGGGTTGAGGGGGGGCTACAGGGAGGGCCCTGGCCAAGCGTCTTGACCAGGAGGAGAGGCAGCACCACCAGCTCTCCCAGTGGAGGTGCATGTTGGTGGGAGATGGGAGGTGGGGGTCCCCCGGAGCCTCCGTGCCCCCCTCCCCGAAGGCAGCGTTGGGAGGGGGTGCTGAGGAGTGGGAGGAAGGAGAAGAATGAAAAGAGATAATACTGTGCTCGCTCGCTCGCTTGCTCACTCACATATAAAAAGTAATTCCTTCATTTTTACATTTATACATCCCGGCGGTGGGCCGGGCAGGGCTGGCTGGGCGGGGGGGGCTGGCGGAGGGACTTCTCTGGCAGGGGTGGAGGCTCGGGGGGAGTCCGACGGGGCGGGCGGGGCCGGGCCTACGCCAAAGGGTCCCCTATCTCATCCTCAGGGCCCCGGCCCAGGAGTTCTCTCTTCTCGTCCGTGCTGGCCAAGGAGTGGCGGCTGCCGTGGCCGCCCATGTAGAGGGTGGCGTACACGGGGTTGGTGAAGTTGGTGGGCTGCAAGGTGACAGAGGGATCGGGTGGGGCTCAGAGGCTGGGCTCCCCGGCCTTGGCCCTCACACCCCCAAACACCCTCACTCACCCCCCCCATCCGCACTCTCACCCCTGCCCCCGAAGCCGACTCCTCTGCCCCCCCAGCCCACCTTGTCAGGGTCCAGGGCAAAGTCGGCATCCAGGAGGCCTCCCACGTCATCAGGCTCCCCGCCTTCATACATCTTGTAGGTGGGGTTCCCGATCTCCACGTTCATGGCCCCGTTGGTCATCCGCTGGTGCTGGAAGCCCTTGGCCCTGGGGAGAGGCAGGAGCACAGGGGCAGAGACTCTAGAGGGGGAAGGCGAGGGGTGGCCATGACTAGGATTCCCCAGACGCCCCGTAACTCACCCCCGGACTCGCCGCTTGTACCAGAACACCACGCCAGCTACCAGGAGCAGCAGCAGCAGCAGCAGCAGCGGGATCAGGATGGAGGCCATATCTAGAGGGGAGGAGATGGGAAACGGTCCAGAAGGCACAGGAAGCAGGGTTCTCCCCCCCCCTCCCCCCCAGTTCCAGGTCCCGGCAGCCATGCCTCCCCGCCCCCCGCCACCTACGTCCAGACTGCTGCTGGCTGACCACTTGCTCTTCACACCGGGGTCCTGCCATGTGGGGCGGGCACCTGCGGAGGGGAGGGCAGAGCTGAGCAGGCATGGCTCCAAGCCACGGCTACCCGGGAGATGGAGAAGGGCCATGGGGCCCTGATGGTCCCGCTGAGACTTGGGGAAGGGGATGATCTAGGCCTCAGGGAGGCTCAGGCCCAACTCACTGGCACTCGGGCATCATTTTGCTGTTCATGGTGCAGGAGCCGCCATTGCTGCAGTGGCCAGCGCAGGACAGACAGCTGGGGGCCACCCGGCCGTCCG